GCGTACATGAATAGCGCACAGTAAATGAGTCCGACCAAGAATAGCCCAAGAAAGTCATAATGAGCTTATTTACGTCATAGTAATTATAGATTTACGTTGTTTATCCAAGAGTTTGACTATAACGCAGTGAATGCAACGAAAATTGGCTTCATCATTGTCGTTGTTGTCATCATCATCATCATCATCATCAACACACACACACACACACACACACACACACACACACACACACACACACACACACACACACATCTACAGTACAGTGCGGCCGGCCATTACCAGTATCCCTTAACACCAAGACCCTTCCTAAAACCACCATTACCGCTCAGATATCTTCTACTATTATAGCCCGTTACGACCACCATCACCTTTATAATAACACTCATCATTATCGCTATCACTCTAAACTTTCCGGAAATAATGGCCATATTTAAAATGACTTAGCATCACGGTTTATGCCATCACACGGTCCAGACACACCCTGGCACACCCTGACCCACCCTGACACACCCTGGCACACCCTGACACACCCTGACACACCTTGGCACACCCTGGCACACCCTGACACACCCTGACACACCTTGGCACACCCTGACACACCCTGACCCACCCTGGCACACCTATTTCGTTCGTTATTTTTGTTCCATTCGTTATTCTTGTTTCGTTTCTTCTCCCTGCTTCTTTCGTGCATCTTGTGTCGATCATACCTTCCTGTTTGTACGTATGATTACACCGTTTCATTTCGGTCTCCTCTATCGTACCCACACCCAGGGAGCGTCAGGCTTCAGGTTCACCAACAAAGGACATCCATAGTTCTCACGCCATGCCTAACAAGAGTCCAAAATATACGAGCATTAATGTCATATGTCAACAAGGAAAAATATCGTATCTCTAAGAAAACTGTCCATGTATGATAACTGTTCACTGAAGTTATAACAGATTAATTTCTTGCTTATACCAAACAGTTAACAGAGTTCATCCATACACAAAAACCTTTAATTCTGAGTTCAAAAAATCTATGCATTTATTCAATAAGATGATCACTTGGTCCTCCCGCACTGTCTTCCGCGTCACCTTGTAGAGCTGGGGTGTCCTCACAGCCCCTTCTGTGTTATGTAAACCTCAGCTGGGTAATAGTACACACACACACACACACACACACACACACTCTTTCTCTCTCTCTCTTCGTATCTGCTTGCATGTTTCATCTGGCATGTAATTTCTTTTTGGATAATCTAATATTTGTTTTAGTTTTGTATAACTCCTCCGACTTCAGTAACATTTATACTATGAGAATCTTGAGGGTTTTACAGTATGATTAAATCTTCATTGAGGATTATACAATTCTGTCGCCGACGTAAGAAATGGATTGAAGTTTTCCAGGACAGTTTTATAGCACTTCAACTTCCAGCCTCCTTCATCTTCAATACATTTTACTGTTTATTGTTCAAAATAATGTATACAAACAGAACCATTGGATCACATGCAACTTTATGTGACGTTCTGAAGACTGACTGTCTCAAGAAGATCACCCTGCTGGCTCTGTAAACATATCAGATTTATCTATGTAATCCTGTGTAAAAATTCCTAGAAATCGAATAACCTGAAAGGACGGTTACATAGTCATCTCTGGTTAGTATTCATGTACCAATACTAAGCTGGTTTGGGAGGGGATTTACTTTTACTTTAGTACAGTACTTTATATTTCAGATATTTCTACTTTTAGCTAAGTTCATTGTCGGACAAATCATCACACGATTACTTCGTTATTGCAACTGAACCTGGTCGCCATGGTGATGTATTCATGCTATGTGTAGTCGACCGATCAGACGAGGCGTGTTCCTGCCAGGCAACCAATCATATAATGACGTTTTATTTCCTGCCACAAACATTATTGCCCATGTGACGCCGCAGCCTCAGTCAGGGTTGTGAACTGTATGATCATTATTTTGGTTCCACGTATGATATAGTGTCGACTAACATACACACATGAACGATAATCCGGAGCGGTGTCTGGAATCTGGTTATTAATTTCTAAGCATCCAATCGACCAGGGAGATATATCACGTGTCAGAGCGGTGCAACCACTCATTTAATCTCACATCAAAGTACATCATCCTCGCCATTAATGCCGTCTGTCCCAGGTCACCGAATGTTCTTACCCGACTTAATTATGACCTTAGCTAATCCATGTTATCGCTGTTGTTTCCTTGGAGAGCATTTTTGTAAATTTAGGCTAATATAAGAGTGTTTTCGTTTTGCACTATATAGGCATCAGCGTACGCCAGCCCTCCTCTGCCTGTTGCTGTGTACACCTGGTCAGCTACTGGAAAAACTCTCAGCCTCAGTTGTGCCACGAGAGAAAAATAGTTTGTTGAAACTCAGCTCAGAATTTACGAATAGAATATTGACATATATAGTTTGTTGATCTCTTACATCTTGTCTCTCCTTACATTAGAAGTGTATAATTTTTTTACTTACTTGCAACAGTAGATCTCACTGTTGGAAATAGAATGATAGTTTAAGCACGCTACTTTGGGCACTTGCGTGTGTTTCAGATCAAATACTTTATAATGTCACGTAAGTAGTTTTAAAGAAGGCTGTTCAGTACGTTTAAATCAGTACATTGTTTTCCAATTATCGGTAATTTAACTTAACTAATATTTTCAAATACTTTTTCCACCAGCACCACAGATATACTGTAGAGTGTCTTCCCACCCTCCTGGCCAGCGTCTCAGAGAGAGACGAGAGGCTGTCTGGCTCGAGAGGGTAATTTTCCTGTATAAGAAATCGTTTTTTCTTCTTCTGCAAGAACCATTGCAGGACATACAACCATGGTCTGCCGGCCTAACGAATATAGATCGCGTCACATTCAGGTACCGACCGTCATGTTCTTATACCATTTGCAGGTGAGTTTTGGAAAACACATTTAATTGACGTGTTAAATCTGAAGGTTTCTGATTGATTAAGATGTCGTTTAGGACATTCTCACGTTAAAAAACAAATGAAGTGGGAAAATATACCACACTTAATGTTTGTTAGAAATGTTTCATTATATTGAGCACAAAATTACTGGCTTTTTAGATGATTGAAATATCTTTGTAGGAGAAGTGGATTGCTAAACAGCGCATTAAACTAAAGAGTTGTTTGGTCATAATTTTGACTATGATGACCTTGTACAGACGTTCATACTACAGTTGTCCCTGTTATTTGGGTACATTTTAAGTAAGGGCTGTGTTAGCGTATTTACCGTTCTACCGTACTTATGGACTGGGGCACCGGTGTATTAAAAGCTAAACTGGTGGAACTACCGGATGTCTGAACTTATAATGACGTGAGGGCTAAAAGTGGTTACTTTCATGTGCCACTATGACCTGGAGAGAGCCAGTCTTATCCTGTGTCTCATCACAGCTGGAAGAGTTGTTTCCCGCGACCTTCACCCACTGCCACTGATCAAGAGCCTGTCGGAATCATTAATAATAAGTTTGTTTATATACAGTACATTCTTATTTAGTTTGTTCTGTATTCTGTGTTCACAAATTTGCCGAAATCCTTTGCTTTCCATGACTTACAATGATACCAGTTGAATTTAACATTTAACTGATATCGATGTATCAATGAAACTACGTAATATGGTTGTCAGTATTTATAATTGAAACTGGATTTAGTTTTATGAAGTTATCAGTAACCCTGTGTCAGTTTTCTCTCGTTATGTGTGTACTTGTTCGTTTTCTCACGTCACCGTTCATCTCCTCCCCCCCTCTCCTCCAAGACCCCGCGCTCCATGGATAACTAAAATATCTCGCAAATCATCGGAATTAAGAAAAAAACAATTTAACACGAAAAAAAAATAGATTAAGCTTCTTTTTCTTTATTATTCGCGGATGTATTATTTTTTGACTCACCAGAAAAGAATTGTTGAAGTTTTGATACTAGTAGCCTACCAAGTGTACAGGCTCCCCCCCCCCCAACACCAAAGGATTAAGAAACAAGACATTAGATTAACCACTGAAACGCTACCTGTGGGGTAGGGTTAGGTAAGCGTTAGGGTGATTAATTTTCAGGTGATTCTTACCTTTAATGACATGAGTGCTGTACATACTGTATATACCAACAGAGTGTACTGCAATCTTCTCGGCTAATTACTGTCGGCTATCACGTCTCTTGTTAATTTATTTGAAGGAGAAACAAAAGAGACTCCTCACCTCGAGGCTCTGGACTCTCCCTCGTCCACCACAACATAAAAATGGTGTTATTATTAGTGTTTGTCCACAAGAAATCGTTATGCTAGTCAAAGTCACCTCAAACTACAGTCAAACAAACAAACACGTGACTCAATCTATGAGGTGACGTGCATCACTCTGTATCTTACATGGTGTCCCAGTCTCTTATTCCGAGATTTTGTTTATTATATTTTACATGGTCGAGTGAACTAATAAATAGACCACTTAATAATATAGTTATAGGTCAGTAGTACGTAGTAAATATTATGAATGAATGTAAAAAGTTATTGGTGATTGGTTACTTAGTTCCCTGTTGCTTAATTAATGGAATTAAAGATAGTTCAGCTTCCTTACTCAACCTTCCTTGTCTCCTCCAGGTAGTGTACTTTGTCTCACGCCGCCATATTAAATCAGTTTAACTCAATTGAATTTGATGAATATCGGTGTTCATGTTTTAACATAGTGAAATTATCATGTGCAAAGTATAATTAATGTAACGTAAGTATCGTAGCCAGATGTATTATTATGTGTAATTGAGTTTAGACCTTTTGACCCGCTCGTGACGCTTCCTCATCGCATCTCCAGGTACTGTCTGTGTGTTGTCGCCACTAACGAGGTTCAGTAGCTGCTTATGGTCAAGATGGTCATTGAAGGATGTCTTTAATATGGCGAGATTAGAGAATCAGAACACAAGAGCACGCAGGGAACACCCACACTGACCCGAGTCTCCCCCGGCACTACTAGCGAGTGAGCTTCGGCTGTCTGTGTAGTAAACAACACTATAGCCAAAGGTGTCACTATAAGTCTTGCCGGGTGTACTAATCTTGGTTATATGTGCCGAGTAGTATTGTTGAACATGATTGAGGGTTAATTAGCGGAAAGATAATTGTCCCAGGTGAAGTATTGAAATCATATATATGGCTATTGCCAGTGTTAATGCCTGTTATATATGTTGTTCCTAAGACGAGACCTGGTAGGGGTCCATGTTATTCAGTCCGAAATAACATGATGTTATAACTAATGTAGTAATTTATATAACATTGACAAGTGTGTAAAATTAACCATCTTACAATCAAGGAAGAATATAAGGTGTTGAGTGTTATAACAAATAATTGAAGATCTATTTTGCTACTTGTAAAGTAAGACCTTAGGGTCCAGTTTTGTCTGAGTGTGTTAAATTAACATCTTGCTCATTCTCGGTCCAACGAATTACCCAAAAGTATTAAAATGTACCCAAAAGTACCCAAAAGTACCCAAAAGTATATTAAATCAGGGTAAAATCTTAACGAATATATGTTTTACATCAATGAAACCTGATTAATAATGTTTTCATTGAAATGTAGTCAAAATAATGAAATAATAAACAGCGAAAAACGCTAAATTCCAAAGAGTCACCTATCCAAACTGGAGATATAATTACCGATGTTTCTGTTACTTTGGGGTATTTAACATAGCCATAGGATTTACTTTTCGTTAGATTAGGTTAGGTTAGCGAGTGCATCACGACGGATCTGAGTTATTTCCTTTGTTCACGAACTCTTTGGAATTTAGCGTTCGCCAATACTGAATGTGTTTCGCTGTTTATTATTTCATCTTACAAATTATTTTTACAAAATTACACTAAAAATATTATTAATCATGTTTTGTGTATGTATAACAGATATTCGTTAAGATTTTACCCTTATTTGCTATACTTTTGGGTACTTTTGGATACATTTGGGTAATTTCGGGTAATTCGTGGCTCCCCTCATTCATAATGTTAATAAACATTGCTTCTCTGAAAATAACCAATGAACTCACGGGCCTAGGCTCAAAGTCTACCATGCTACCTAACAGTTGGTGATATCAGTTATATTCTAATAAAAGCCTGGGTGGTGGCAAGCTTCCCGTGTGAGTATACTAATTTTTTTCATAGGTGTTGTGAAGAATGATATGGTTTTCCCAAGTTAATCCATTGTATAGAATATAACGAAACACTGATACATATTGAGGAAAGTAAGAAGAAAATATAAGAAACACATAATGACACTGAAAGAAACTATAAGTAAGAAAAGTAAAATGTAGAAATGAAGTTATAAGCATTCAGAAATAAAGACTTAGAGACATATAGAGAAATTAAAATAATATATAAAAAAGAAAAGAGAAGAATAAAAAATATACAGAAATAATTATAGAAAAGGAAATAATACTGTATAACTAAGAAAATTAAAGGAGGTTATATATATAAGACAGAAATAAAATATAAGTAAAAACACTTGCACATTTTGGCTATTACAAAATGGTTAGCAGCGTGTGGGATTATTTTATGTGAGAAGCCAATTTGAAGGAATGAGGTGTGATGGTGATTTTTTCAGTACAGTACAGTACTGTACAGTAATGTATAATTATTTTGCCGTCAGTATTTAAGAGTACAATAATTTTGTGACTACTTCAAAGTACAGGTACAAATGATATTGTGATTTAAGTACCATACTGTATTTGAAAATGCAAAGATTTTTTTTTTTTTGAGAGTTAGGTAGGAACTAACAATTGTTTCAGCTTTCACAGTGATTTTAATTGAAGAAAGTGAGATTTTCTTTTGTGACAAGTTAGGAAATTATTTAATTTTGTTGATTGTCTGACAAGTGTTAATTGCATACCTGTGTAAATTTATTTTGTGCCTTCCTACACCGATACCATAGCAAGTGTTGTGACCACTGGAATTACTTTGATATTTACAGACATTGAGTGGGTAGTGGACATCTGCCGTATTAGGAGTGTTGTGGGCAGGGGTGCACTTCTGATTGTTACAGTGCATATGGTACAAAGGTTATGTAACTTGACGCTTTATGTGTACTGTACTTGTACCATTTATTTGATTAATTTTTTGTGTGAATTCAATAGAAAGTGTTCAAATTCTCACTTGCCCTATTTTTTTTCTGACTGTTGAATTTATTGATATAACCCGAGTTGGGAGCCACGAATTACCCAAAAGTACCCAAATGTACCCAGAAGTATAACAAATAAGGGTAAAATCTTAATGAATATCTGTTATACATACATACAACATGTTTAATAATATTTTTAGTGTAATTTTGTAAAAATAATTTGTAAGATGAAATAATAAACAGCGAAAAACTTTCAGTATTGGCGAACGCTAAATTCCAAAGAGTTCGTGAACAACGGAGATAACTCAGATCCGTCGTGATGCACTTCGCTAACCTAACCTAACCTAACGAAAAGTAAATCCAGCGGCTATGTTAAATACCCCAAAGTAACAGAAACATCGGTAATTATATCTCCATTTTGGATAGGTGACTCTTTGGAATTTAGCGTTTTTCGCTGTTTATTATTTCATTATTTTGACTACATTTCAATGAAAACATTATTAATCAGGTTTCATTGATGTAAAACATATATTCATTAAGATTTTACCCTGATTTAATATACTTTTGGGTACTTTTGGGTAATTCGTTAGACCGCCCGAAGTTTAGCGTTGTACAGTATTTTCCATTGTTGTATTTGTGTGTTGTTTCTTTTAGCTAATAATTTTATTGCATAGAACATTAGTATTTCTCACAGTGTAGACTTACATGCATTATTAGTAAATGTGCTACAGTATATGTTATTTGAGAACTAATGCATGTATATTTTCAGCAATTGTATTGTTTGGATTGAAGACTCTGTGGTGAAATGGACACCTATAAGAATGCAATCTCTGAAAATGGATTGTTGAAAGTACATGTATGGATCACCAATTGTGAGTACAGTACTGAGTAATTTGTGAATCGTAAACACAGTGTTAAGACAGTGAATACTTATTGAGTACAGAATTTTTTTTTTTTTTTGCATTACTTACTCGTGAAACTAAAGAGTTATATTTTCTTGAGACATTCTTGTAACGTATTATCAATTATTTTTGTGATTAATGATTTGAATCTTACTCTGAGTACCTTTTGTGTATTGTAACTGTACTTGCGTTAGTCCTGCAGACATTTCAAGTGCTGCTAGAACAAGTTATGTTGGGCTGATTAGTACCCACATTCAGTGAGGTGAGTTCCCATCTCCCAGGTGTTGTTCTGCCCTTATCATCCCCGAGGTAACAGTGTTACAGAAAGAATGCACCGAACCTTTAAAACCCTCCTTGCAATCATGTGTGAAGATAACTCAAGACGTTGGCTAAAGTTCTTAGGTCCTACTCAGTGCTCTTTAAATGCTGCCGTGCAAACTACTACGGGATTGCATCCGCATTTTGCTTTCTTTTCAAGACACGTACAACGACAAGTGGGAATTGATTTACCTGTAGTAGAGAATGAGAGTAATGAAGGATTGAGAGAAGCTCACCGATTGATAAAGGAAACTTTTGTGAGAATGTCAAAGGAAATTAGACAAAGAGCCAATAAAGATAGACTTGACCAATCAGTACAATTGGTTGAGAAATGAATTACCTCTCCCAGGAACTAGTAAAAAATTTAATGCTAAATGGAAGGTTCCTTATATTGTAACTGATATCATACATGATGGGGCTGCATATGAACTCACTAACCTTTTAGACGAGACAGAAGTAATCGAAAGAGCAGCTGAGAAAGTAAAAAAATTTGTGAGTAGAGATAAGTTTGTGCAGGTGAATGACATTCCAGTTCCATCTTGTGATTCTTCATCAGAATCAGAACTTGATGAGAGAGAGTGTGGTGGGGAGTAACGGGAGTCCAATCAAGGCTCCTGTGGCTAGGTTTCCTGCGAGAAAGAGGATCTTTAAGGAAAGACACTGTTGGGAGGTCACGTCTCTTGATTGTCGTCATTGTGTACTTGTAGGGTGATGTTTTGTGGGCACTTGTATCTTGTACTTTAGATTTATTGATTGTGGGCATTGACTTTGTGTATTGCCTTTCTAGCTTGTAGTTAGGGTGTTTACAGGTGCTCCTCTACTTACGAATGAGTTACGTTCCTGAGGCTTGTTTGTAAGTCCAACTTTACTCTTGTAGATACCAAACATATTGTAAAAAATGAAAAGATTATGGATATTTAGTAAAGCTATACCCTTTAATACAGCCTTAAAACCTGGCTCACTCTTTTCCTCTTAGGTAATGTTTGTTCTACCTGGAATTTTCTTCAAAATAATCCAGTCTCATCCACATTAAACACCTGTTCTAGCAGGTAACCCCCCTCAGTTTGTAAGTTGAACATTCTTAAGTAGAGGAGCACCTGTATTGCAATAAAATTATTAGCTAAAAGAAACAACACACAAATACAACAATGGAAAATACTGTACAACGCTAAACTTCGGGCGGTCCAACGAATTACCCAAAAGTACCCAAAAGTACCCAAATGTACCCAAAAGTACCCAAAAGTATATTAAATCAGGGTAAAATCTTGTAGTTAGGGTGTGTATTGCCTTTCTAGCTTGTAGTTAGGGTGTGTATTGCCTTTCTAGCTTGGAGTTAGGGTATGTATTGCCTTTCTAGCTTGTAGTTAGGGTGTGTAGTGCCTTTCTAGCTTGTAGTTAGGGTGTGTATTGCCTTTCTAGCTTGTAGTAGTTTTGTGATACCTTTTGTGAAGGGATTGTCAGTATGTAGTATGGGCAGGGAGGTTAGTAGATGTGTCTTACTGCAGTAGAACCATCTGTTGTGTTGAGTGCTCAGGTTCTGTTGGAGGTCCTATGCTAGTTAGGCCTGGTTTTGTATAGGAGGTAGTTGTTCTGGACTTTAGCAACGGCTAGGCGTGTATAATTACATGGACCTAGTGCGGTTTAAACGCTTTTGTGGCAAAGGGAGGTGATTGGACTGGTATCTCGTGAGGACCGTTGCGTCGGCATTATTGTCTATTTGAGTTTATGTTAACCCTGGCTAGTAGATCTTGTCTTGTCTCGTGAGTGGAGATTGACATTTCGTAATAAAGTCGCCCGATCCTTTCATCGGCTGGATGGGGTCTAGTGAAACCTCCGTTACCAAAATTTGCTGTCTGTATTAGATGTACCAAATTGTAATTGAGGCAATCTTACTTTTCTTATTATGTTCTGTACTGTTGATGTGTGAGTCTATGTTCTTCTATGTGTTCATGACAGTATTGCTTTGATAATTTAATTTACCCATGTCTAGGAATTTTGTAATTTTTATGGATGTGAAATGATCTGACATATTTAATGATGTGTGTATTGTTGACAAATAACCAAGTATTATGGTGTAGGTTTTTTAAAGAGTATATAATTACTGTAAATGTTTTAGTGACTCTACCGCATAATACGAATCTTGGGGAGGGGAAAGCTTTGTACTGATCTCATTAGTACATGTTAGTTAACATAAGCCTTATGATTTGTATTTCGCTCCATGGTCACTAAAACATTATTGAGTCCCCCGTCTGAGGCATCCATTTTCTTATCGCTTCAGGATGCCTGAGCCCTCCATTTTCTTTCAATTTCATGTATCTCCAAGACTATATTAATTCTTAAGACCTCGTGTCATGTTCAGAAATTTGAAATTGAAAGAGAACCCAGTGATATTATATTGTAATAGATATTGTCTAATTACATATGAAACATTCAAGATCCCTTGTGAGTGATGTTGAAAGCTTCGACTGTATTTCTTGTTAGTAAAACTTGCTATGCTGGATCAATTATTTCTTCTTAAAGAGATATGGAGTGATCCCTCTGCTCCAGTTAGCCTATAGCAAGCATCATTCAAGAAACTGCTTTATGTTAAATTCATAACAATTTGGTAATAAATACTTGCACAGGAAAGTCGTTCCTTCTGGTCTTGCTGGATCTCTCTGCAACTTTTGACATGGCCGTTTGGGTGTTATTGAGAATGTACTCTCACTGCTTGAGTATTATTTATCAGAGCATTCTCAATGTGTGATGGTTGGTGAAACTCTTTCAGACCTGGTTCCTCTGGAGTTTGGAGTCCCACAGGAATCAGTTTTGTATCTCTTGTATCTGCTAGTTGCTTATGGTGTTGCCTATCATTTCTGTGCCGATGCTGCACAGTTTTGTGTGAAAATAATAGAATTGATATACTTGAGGAGAAAATAAATCCTCAATGTCTGATGTTAAGATTTTGATGGTGAGGAGAAAACTTATACAGTACTGTATATTGAGTAGTTAAGAGTTGCAACTTTAATATTTGAAATCTACTGTACTGTATATGCTGTTAAAGTGTTTGGATAGACAGTGTCTTTTGAGACTATTACATTCACTTATTTTGTCTCGGGTTGACTATTGTAATTATGGTGTTGAACAGGGTAGCCAGGCTTATTTTTGTTCTCCCACCGAGGGCTCCCACTACCCCCATTCTTGATTGAATTACATTGGCTTCCTATTAAAGCTAGGATTGAGTTCAAACTCTGTCTAATGACTTTTAATACACTAATGTTTGATAAGCCTAAGTATTTGGCCAACCTATTAATTCTACTGACTACACATTCTGAAGTGCTTTTACATAGCAGTGATGATCCTTCATGCCTTGAAGAACCTCGAGCAATACGGGAATGTTCTTTTGCTGCCCAATCCTTTTCCTATACAACACCCAGATTGTACAATCTGTTGCTTGCATCCATGAAGCAGCTGACTTCTGTGGAGGCCTTTAAGTAACCACTTAAGATTTTATAAATTTTTTAAAGCTTTTGATCCTGAAAAGGATACAGTGCAGTGGCATACCGTGGTTGCACTGATGAGGCATGCAGAACACCCACATATATCAGTTATCAAATCAAATATCAAGTAGGATATGGCCTTTCTCTAAATAAGGGTTGTCAAACTTTTATAAACACCTAATTTCTTAAATTATATCAGTGGCATCTGACAAAGTATCTACAGGTATTATAAATCATTAATTATGGGTGCAAAAATATTTAGGGGAAAAGAATATTAATCTTTCAGTGTGATCTACAGTAATTTAAAAATAATGTAGTTAAAAAAATGACTAGGCATCATGCAAAATGCTGGCCCTCTGTAAAGTTGCCAATGATCTTATGTTGAATATTTCAATACTGTAATTAGTAAATATATCTATTTATATGATCTGATTATTGTTTCAAGTAAAACAGAAAACTGAATAACTTTCCCAAGTGAAAAAACTATAACTGGAAGTGGGCTGTAGGGTTATTTAGAAATATTAAAAATAATAATGTGGACCAGTTTTGTGAACGCAGTTTTCGAAGAGCATGCATTTGTACCCATTACATTTACAGACACCTTATTAAATAGCCACTCTTATAGAACAACAACTCTTAGGTAATATAATATCACCGTATAACATAAGACTTCATGCTTATTAAGGGAAAAGTATTAAATTTTACTAAAATGGCTCAAATTCCTTATGCTCCAACACATTAAAGTTCATTTTAGCATGTTATTGATAGGATGGTTATGTCTATATTTCCATTGAGAGCATGCAGCTTATCTCTCTGTGTGCATTGAGGGACTCTGAGTCTCCTCCTCTTTGCTGAGTGAAAACTGTGAAGACTCTAAAATTAAATCTGTATTATTGAAGATACTATTTAAAATTATATTTTGCTTTCTACGAGGCATGTAATGCATGCCTTGCATTCATTAAGAATATGCCACTGGTACAGTGATGGAGAATTACAGAGTTTAGGAAGTACTGTCACTTTTCGTAATCTTTTATTGTAGTGCAGTATTTTTTTATTTTTTATTCTCAAGTCTTTGACTTTGTAGTGTTTTGAGCACTCGTGAATTCTTTAGGAAAACTGGTGGTTTTGAGAAACAAAAGACCAATTATTATTATTATTACTGAACATGTTTGACTCTTTAGTAAATGGTTGTTTCTGTCTATTAAGCATTTTCTCATTATCCAGGAAGAGTAGATGACATTATATCTGTAACTGTCAAGTCTGTATTGTTATATGTCCATGATATACTAAATGTAGATGGGCACAAAATTCAATGAATATATTATAGTTGTACTGAAAATATTTTATGCTAAAGTGTAATTTTTTTAATGTACATATTCTTCTTTGTTCACAGATGGCAGAAATACAGCAGCACACAAGAATGATCTTGGAATATTAGGTGATAGCCTTATTTATTTCATCTCTAAATAAGTGAAATGTATGTTTCATGACAGCATTGAGAAACTGTCAGTTTAGGTTCCTGACTGCAGAAAAGAATGAACTGATGTTTGTAATCAGAACATCATGATGCCTAAAAAAGAGTCTTTTACATGTTCCCTCTGTGGTAAGGCATTTACAGAGGCATCTGAATTAGGTTTTCATATGAGAACTCATGAGGGAGAGCAGCCATTTGAGAATGAAGAGTATGACGAAAAACCTAATATTAGCAGTACACTTAAGGACGACATGACCAGTGATGGTGAAGAGAGATCTTATAAGTGTCCAATATGTGGGATTACCTCTACCACACTTGATACCCACAACAACCATATGGAAACTCATACTGGAGAGAAGGAATTTAAGTGTTTTGTTTGTTCTAAGAAATTTAGATTCAAAAGTTCTTACAGAAAACACACTAAAATTCATAAGAATTATCCCCTGCGCTGTTCTGTGTGTAGAGTTGTCTTTGCTGAAAAAAATAGTTTTGATATACATGTGAAGATTCATACAGAAACCTCTTATGAATGTGATATTTGTGGAAAAAAAGCAAGTGATAAAAGTGCCTTAAAACAACATCTACGGACTCATACAGGAGAGAAACCCTATAAGTGTTCAGTTTGTGGGAAGGGTTTTGTTGTAGCTGGCAACAGGAACAGACACATGAAAACTCATTCTGGAGAGAAGCCATTTGAATGTACTGTATGTTTCAAGAGGTTTACAGAGAAAGGTTCTCTAAAAAAACATATTGCAATACATACAGGAGAAGAACCTTATAAGTGTTCTTTTTGTGATAAAAAGTTCACCCAAAAAGGTCATTTTGAGAGACATGAGCGGATTCATACTGGAGAAAAACCATTTAAATGTTCAGTTTGTTCCAAAAGGTTTAGGGATAAGACCTCACTTGAGAGTCATGAGTTTGGACATACTGGGGAAAAACCACATGTTTGTTCAGTTTGTGGGTCAACCTTTGCACAGAAGGGTAATCTTAGCAAGCACATGTTTGTTCATAATGGAAAACCACATGAGTGTTTATTATGCTTTAAGACTTTTAGAGATAAATCTTGTTTGGATACCCACATGTACAGTCATTCAGAACAGAAGCCATTTACTTGCCCTGTGTGTAATAAGGGATTCACCTCAAATAAGTATATAAAACAGCACATGCTGGTGCATTCTGAAGATAAACCATATTCTTGTTCAATTTGTAACAAGAAATTTACTCTGAAAGCCTCACACAGAGACCACATGCGCATTCATACCGGAGAGAAACCCTTTTCTTGTTCTATATGCATGAAAACCTTCACAAGCAAAGGTACATTGGCAAGGCATTTGCATACCCACATAATTGGGATGCTTAATTGCACAGTATGTTCTAAGGAATTTTTAGATCAAACAAAACTTGAAAAACACATGTATAGCCATACAGGAGAGAAGCCCTATAAGTGTGCTGAATGTAAGAAACAATTTATCACAAAGATGGGCCTTGAAAAACACTTGCATAATCACACAGTTGAAAAAGCATTTGAATGTTCTGATTGTGGCAAGCGTTTTGTAACAAAACAAGGACTAGGGAATCACAAGCGTAATAGTCTTAGAAATAGGGGACTAGAGTGTACACATTGTGAAAAGCTATTTACCTCAGTATCTCTTTTCAAGGCACATATGCTCACACATGATGTGAAACTTGAAGAAAATCATTGGACATCCCTTAGTGAGAAAAATAAAGCAAACCCAGAATTGATAGTTCCCGATAAGGATATAAAGAAAGATGTTGATGATGAGTGTGTCAGCTTTAATGCCTCTCCCCAAAATGAATTGCAGATGGATATTGATTATATGAAAGAGGAAACTGATGAAAATTTTTCCACAGTTGAATTACACAATTCACAAGTGAGTTTAGGAAAGCTGATGAATAATTCTTGCTATAAACCTCCTAGATCATCCACTGAGGAAGAGAAACTTAAATGCTCTATTTGTATGAAACGATTTACATTTCAAAGTCAATTATCCCGACATCTTAGGACTCATACAGGTGATAAACCATTTCAGTGCACCATATGTGGAAAGAGTTTTTCTGATAATTATGTTCTAAAGAAGCACATTCAGGTTCATACGGGAGAAAAGCCAGCATCATGTGTAATATGTTCCAAGAAATACCCTGACAAAACTAGTCTCCACACACACCTGTTAAGTCACACCGGAGAAAGACCATATCCATGTACTTTATGTGATAAAACCTTTATAACCAAGGCAAATTTAAAGCGGCATATGCTAACTCATTCAGATGTGAAGGTATTTCAGTGTAGTATTTGTGAAAAACGTTTCACAAGACAAGATCCGCTTAGGAGACATATGTTGATTCATACCAGAGAGAAACCATTTCAGTGTTCTGTGTGTTTCAGGAAGTTCCAGGAAAAAGGGACCCTGATACGACATTCAAGAACACATACCGGTGAAAAACCTTATGAGTGTTCACTGTGTAATAAGAAGTTTAGAGCAAGGGGTACACTGAGTAAACATTTTCAAACTCATTCAGGAGCTAAACCTTTTGAATGTGTTCACTGCAATTGTAAGTTTAAAACCAATTTTCATTTAAAACAGCACATGATAACTCATGAACCAGAACACAAAGATGAAGCAACTGGAAAGTTATATGCTGATGATAAAGAACTTATTGATTGTGCTGATAATATCATAGATGTCGGAAATTTATGTTTGGATGAAGCTTTGATTGAAAATGGTTTCATTAAAACTGAGGTTGATGATGACACTACGTTTAAGAATCTTTCAATTTAAAGAAATTATATACAAGTTGATAGAGTGCTCTGTTATGGAAAAAAAAATTAATACGTTAACAATGCTGGAATTTGATATTCGTTAATTGTTCAATTTTTTCTGTTGAGTTGTTTATCAATCTCGATGATAGGGTGGCCAGTTTAGGGTACCATGTCCAATGCTATTGTTGCTTTTTACGCAAGAAAGTCCCCTCTTTTTTTTTTTTATAGAATAGTCCAGTAATTTATTTGGAATAACTTTGTGTGTTACTGTGCAACTGAGCATTTGGTGAGCTTTAATCGTTTTATCTACAAATTTATTTGTGAAAGGTTATGTCAAAATGATCAGCTTTTCACCGGAAGATGCATTTTAAATTATTTTTGGTCGAGTTCTCCATTTATTTATTCATAGCCAGGTTCCTTTATCTTGCCATACATCATGGTTATTGTTGTAAACATAAAACCCAATGATTGTGGTCTCTACTCAATACTACTTTCTTATTACAAGTATAGTACAGTACATTACCTCACAAATCCCTCACCCTTTTATCCCCTGCTTGACCTGTGTCCTAAGTTTTAGGTTTTAAACCTTTGTTTTTACGTCTTCACTTTGCCTTTACATTTCCTTGATTTTTATTTTTCTTCACTTATCAGCTTACTAGCCATTCAGGTGGATGTTCTGTATAATGATAAAAAAATTCCTTTTCACCAATTGGTGTTTTCCCAGAGCTGAACATGTTTCCTTACCAAACTTCCCTTGTCATGGCTATAGTAATAGTCTCCAGGAAAGCAAAGCTGTAAACTGTATGACTTTGTCTTGTGCATTACTCGTGTCTTTTAAAATACAGTAGTGCCTCGATACACTGGACTAATTTGGGCAGACCCCAGTCTGGAAAATGTGAAAGTCCCCCCAAAATGATGCTATGGTGAGGGGGAGGGGGTGTCTGGATACTGCTTATCTGGACTGTTTGAAGAAAATAAGTTATTTTTATAATGTTTTTACTACACTTCAATAACTAAGGTCTTTTAGGTGGATAACAAGTTAGTAAAACACTATTGCATCAACAGTAATAGATAATATGAGAGGTAGAACTCTGTTGAAAATTAGACTAAGTCTGGTTGTCGACAACTGTATTCACTAATATGATTATTATTAACTGTAAAGTGTTATATGTAAATAACCACAGAATTTACCTTGTGAATGATGTGAAAACTATATACTTTACAGTACTATAAAGATAAAAATAAGAGTGCAGGGTATATTGTGTATGGGAGATATGAGTGAACATTACTGTACGTATATGGGAGTACCAGGTGGAGGGTAGTGCAGGTGTGTGGCTTCCACCCCTCCCTAACCCTAGGGTCACTGTAACACCTCTTTATGCAATTTTACCATAATTCTCGTATTATTTAGGTTCATTTGGTGCTGGGTTAATAACATATTTTTGTAAAATAATCAACTTTAGTGAAAAAAGAATCCCACACACTCAACCCAGATAAATCATTGCATTGTACTGTATTCGATTCCTGGTACATTACTGTAATTTGCTTACAAGGTGCAAACAGCTAATCATCCTAGCTCCCTCACCAGTACTCCATCTTTCATGCTTACCACAACACCTGTGCTCAGCACTTAGCAAATATTACTATATAGTACTGTAGTAAATATCATTGCAGTGTATTATTCATCTGGATATTTCCTGATTTATTCATTTAATCCATTGTCTTAAGTACACAAGTAGCCAAATCAACCCACAAGTACAGTACAGATATTGCTCAAAGGTAATAAATAACATTGTTAAGAAGGTATTATATCCATATCAAATACTACTATACAGTAAAAACCCCATAATTCGGAATAGTTGGTGCTCTAGCCGTTATGAATTATAATATTTTATGAAATATGAGGGACACCTTCTCCCGGGGGAAAAACAAAACAGCGGTGTAAGCATTTTCACTACAGGTAGTTCTGCTATAACGCGATAATTGTGTTCTTGTAAAATATCGTGTTATAGAAAATCGCGTAATAGGAATAACAGGGCTTATGGAGAAAATAGGGTTAGGTGCAGATTACTCGAAATCGAAAAAATTTAGTAGTTAGCCTAACACAAAGGATAGCACGGTCTAAATAAATGTTACATTCATATCTAATAATGAAATCATACAGTAAATGTAACACTTTACTTGATGGGGGAGAAGGGTGATTTTGAGGTTGATAAAATCGAGCTTCTCTTCTAGTGTTATATCCTTTCTTTTACGATCATCACCAGGAATTTTATCACCGGAACGCTTCTTGTTGATATTCTTCTTTACTATATTCACAAAATTGGAGAAATAGTAAGCAAAAATCGCGTTATAGCAAACAAGCGTTCGCGTTATACAAATATCGTTCCTAATTCATAAATCGCGTTAGAGCAAATTCGCGTTATCAAAACACGCGTTATAGCAGAAATCACTGTACTCACGATTTTGCAGCTACCGGGTAAGTGGTCAACTTTTTGTGACCATCCATGTAAAAGTCCCCACATTTAAGCTGATTCCACCCGAAAACTCTGGATAAAATCTATGGAATTTTAGCTGAAGTGTTTGAAATTTCATCTTCTTGCCAGCGCCATCCATGCAGGCACCTGTCCCCATCGCCAGTCCCGCTTTGTTTCGTCCGGACCAGTGCATTGTTGTGTTTACTCCTGCCTTTGTTGTGTCTTTTCGTGCATTTTGTGGTGAATTATTTTATCATTCATTTAGCCATGAGTTCCCAACCCAAACAGGATGGTGCAGCGCTCAAAAGGAAGCGTACTAGTTACAGTATAGATGTAAAATTAGAAGTGATTAGGCGAAAGAGGAGTGCAGCACGAGTGATCAACATCACTCGTGCCTTGCACATACCTGAAACAACTACAGTACACTTTTGAAGGTAAGCAAATAAAAATATTTTATGTAAAAATTATTTATTTTTAAAACATTGTAATAAGTATTTTGTCTCGATGAACCACTGGAGTGAGTGTATACAAATGTTTCCAAGGTAAATAATTGTTAAAAGATATATAATTATTTTTTTATGTCATGTACAGTAGCTAAAACAACTATCTGTGCAGGTGGGGGTCGATATGCTCCAAAATTTTACATGTGACTTGTGACAGCCCTCATATTCCAATATTTGTTGTACATAGTCTCATATTGTTTCCCACAAAGTATGCACAGATTGTTGTTTTAGCTACTATACAATGTCATGATCCCAATTTGACCTATTTCCACTAATTCTTATGGATTAATTTAATGCTATAACTGGATTCATTATCAGGGGCATTTTTCCAATCCCAATTGACTGTGGATAACAAGGAGACCCCTTTACTTGTTTACACTGAGGCAGGCAGTGGGCGGTTATTTCCCATGGCAACATGTGCGTCAGATTTACAGGTATTCGTAAATAATCGGAAGTACGTATTACAAAATGTTATGAAAATTGTAACATATATATTGTACTGTATATTGTAATATTTCAGAATGTCTCTCATATTTCAAAATTTTATCAAATACTGTACAGTGCCTGTATTTTGAAATTGTATTATGTATGTCATAATAGCAAAGCATTAAAGATTTTGAATTATTTCGAATTAGAGGGGTATGAATTATGGGGGTTTAACTGTACAGAATGTTATAGTGAACCTGTATAAGGCTGATTTGCTGAAAGCTCTCCCTCCCAAAATGCATCCTGAATGAATACTTTCCAATGCAGATTATTCTTTTATTTTTAAATCACATTAAAAATTACATATTGTAAACCCTTGCCCAACGCGGGGGTTAAGTTCATCGAAAACAGTGTGTTGGGCAAACTTAACTTCTTGTGGGAAAAATGGGGTGGTGGGATCGTGGTCGCGTATGGACTCTTATTGTGTGAAATGCATACCTTTTAAACATTTACATAATGCACAAATATAATACAGTAATACTAATTCTAACATACCATAAAAATTTATAATATTAATGATATGCATTATATAATCATATTACTGTACTCACTGATCCATGGTTGTGCGTATGACGGATTTATTTACAGAGTTCTTATGGGCAGGCGTTCCTACACGTGCTCCATCACGTAGCTTATATAAAATCTTTATTTTCTTGGCTAATGTCATCACCTTTTTTGAGTGTACTACCACCACTAGCATCACCTTTGCATTTAGGGGCCATACTACAAGGGCATAAACTCAAAAAGTTCCAAAACCACTTTAGTATAATGTTGACGGTACTGACGCATAAGCTACACTGGCGGATATCTCCAACTGTAGCGTGGCCACATATATATTTGAATGCGTATAGTCAAAATTGCTTTGGACAAACCACCGTTGGGCAAGGATTCACTGTACTGCATTTTTTCTATTACAGTATTGAAAATGCTATATTAATCATGATGAATCAAGCACCATAAGAGGTGATCATACCACCCCTAGCCTCTTTACATATTCAGTGTCTTGCCATCACTCTTCTCGTACAAAAAATTTGATTGGACAACTGTACAGTATTCAGTGAGCAAGTGTTTTTCTTTTCATAAGAATTTTGTTTTTAATTTTATCCATTTCTTAAAAACATACAGGTGCTCCTCTACTTAAAAATGTTCAACTTGCAAACTTTCAGAGATACAAACATCATCACTGAGGGGGGGGGGGTTACCTGCCAGAACAGGTGTTTAATGTGGATGAGACTGGATGATTTTGAAGAAAATTCCAGATAGAACAAACATTACCTAAGAGAAGAGTGAGCCAGGTTTTAAAGGCTGTATTAAAGTGTATAGCTTTACTAAATAGCCATAATCTTTTCATTTTTTACAATATTTTTGGTATCTACAGGAGTAAAGTTGGACTTACAAACAAGCCTCAGGAACGTAACTCATTTGTAAGTAGAGGAGCATCTGTACTCAATATTATATTACCCATTTCTTAAAACCCTCACATATTCCCATTAAAGACAACACATATGATATACAGTATAAAAATTCCCATAAATGAGGGCACAGTTGGTAGCGAGGTGCAGTTCACTGATATTATACATATGAAGGGACGACTCAGACTGAGGTACATGCCACACAACTCCCATGCACCAGACGTTCAGCTGCATGTAAGCACACAAACCGTCTGGTCTGATGCTGGATTTTCCGGGCTTTTTATAATACCGGTACATCTGGTGAATAGAGGGGCGGTCCGAAGCACCTTAGATAGTCCGAAAAAAGCGAAGTCAGGTGTACAGAGTTTCTACTATTCTGTTGTATTATGCTAAAGGGACTACTCAGTTATATTGTTCTTTAGTGTTGTATTGGCATTTGTTAGCTGGGTTGTTTGTGCACAGATAAGTTTTCCTCGTTATAATATTCATTGCATATCTGTGCATACTAGTGCCAGGAAGCTTAGACATACAAACTGTTCGCTTAGTTTTAATATGAATTATGACTCCAGGTTTTTTTGTATAATAATAATAATTCGTGTACCTGTATTATGTTGTTGCCTCAATCCTGGTAGTGTATGTCATCCACTTTATTTCTTAGTGTACAGATATTTATTAATGCAGTATTCTTAATTTCATGTACTACAGCATAAATTCTCATTCTAGATTTCATAGCCTTACTCAAAGTTAACAATATCCAGTATTTAGGTTAATGGATACTGTAAATATCTGCCCCCAGAAAAAATGAAATGCTGTACTGCCCTTTTGGAATCTATGCAGTGGAATTTTACCTCCCCAAATTTGAGGGCACCGAGGATATTGGAAGTAATTTTTCACTTTGATGCATATATCCTCAAGATTACTGTACCAGTAAACTACAGTTTTCAGTTTTACTCTAATGCTCTTTTACTTTCATAATTAGTTTTAATGTTATGTGCTAATAAGAAACTCTTGTTCAGCCTTGATTCAATGTATGGGTAGCTGTGTTGTTCACCATTTTATACCTGTACAAAGTCACTTCTATATGAAGACCCTTATAATAGAGCTCTTGCCATTCAGGGTGGCATAGTCTTAATAAAGGGGAAGAATCACATTGAATGTTAGCATAGAATAACTGAAGTAGCATGAGTTATGTGAGATTAATTGTGATAATGTTTTCTGAAAACATTAAGTTTCATTTTGTTATCAGTGACTGGACATGTTTCATATTTGAAGCTTGGTATGATTTTATTTTCATCTTTTTAATTTTTATTATATATCACATTGAGTAAAACAGTTTCATTTAAAAAGTTAAAAGGTTCACCAATCTGTGCTGAAGGACAGCAGCTCTCAGTCCTGGAAATGCAGACTGTTGCTTACCTTATTGTGTTCATGTTTCCCCATAACCCTACATTGAAAGTAAATGTTTAAAATATATCCATTTGTTTACTTTTATCCTTTTCAATGCAGTATAAGGGAGGGATTTCTTATATGTATTTTCTTATTAATTTATCCCACTGCTGTTAACTTTTAAACTCTTCAACCTTTTTTTTTCTCTCTCTCTTACTTCATTAAGTACTAGATATTAGTTATAGCTTAGTTATGTTACTTCATATGAGGCGTTGCATGGAGAAACTAGCACAAGCGCCATGCAGGCCACTATCATGTTTATGACTGCAAATGGTTCTTAAAACACCCTCATGGATTTTGTTCAAAATTTCAGTATAGGTACTCCTTAATGTGCTGCTTAAGGATCTGTTAACCAAAATTTGATATCTTGATTATAACTTGTTCAAATGGCATTTAGAAAATGTTCAAATGATTTTTAGAATATTTTAATTACTTTTGCAATGCTAATTCTAAGTCAACATGTAGCCGAACCCACCCAGGGTAATAATATACTCGATTTAGTTCTGCCAAGCAGAGAAGACCTCATGAGTAACGTCGATGTAAGGAACGAACTCGCTAACAGCGATCACAAGGAAGTGAGATTCAAAATAGAACTTAATGGCAGTTGCAAGGAAAATTCCATTACAGTCCCAGATTTCAGAAGGGCAAACTTTGATAGGTTGAGAAGGTAGCTGAAAGAAGGGGTATTAAGTTTGGGGGTGAATAACATGAACTCACGTGAAGTGACCTCA